ATGAAGGGAAGGCAGTCCTGGTAAACTATGAATGCAAACGGTGTGGCCAAGCTTCTTATAGATGTTGGTGACACTGCACAGCGTGAATATGACATGCTTGAAACACTGGCTGTCAGTAATCATGCCTTTGAATGTGCTCTGACTGGCAGTAAATGTTCTTTAGGTTTCATTTCAATTTGGTGAATGTTCTAAGAATGGTTTGTCCCAGTAGCGTGGGCTTATGTGATGAGCTAAACAAAAAACATCAGTATTGATGCTTTTGTGGAAATGCCACCAGGAAGACCACACAGTATAGAAATCTTCAAACAAGACAAACACGAACACGTTTACCGCACAACCCATCTGCTCACCATATATACTGCCAGAGGAAGCACGCATGTCCCGAACGTTCCCCTTTCCAAATGCAACAGAACAAGCCCACAATAAAAGTATGTGGTAGACAAATGATGACAGTTGGGGCTTAAGAGATGAAGGGGTGTGTGATTGGGTTAGTGAAAAAATGTTAACTGGCTTCAAATCATATGCTCAAATTTGTTCTATGATACTGAGAAGCATAATAGGCCCTAATGATGATTAAAAAATAGTTGTAAATGATAAATTTGTAAGCCAAGTTCTTTCTCTCACCCAGCCATAAGAAATCAATTCACTTCCATAAATGTCCATCACAGGTTCCTTGCTGTTGACACCTCTCATTGAGCTCTGTCGCTTTCGAGACCCAATCTGGCCTGTAGTAATTTCCTCCTGCAGTTCTTCATAAGGCATGGCCAAAGAAACAGGACTCATTTGTCTTCAGAAAATCCTCTTGGCTGGGAAATTGCCTTGATGACACTAAAACCTGTAGCTGGTTGTTTGCACAAGACAATGAGATGTTGATGAATCAGTTGAAAATTATTTATATTTCCTTAGCAACCTTAGAAAGAGGCAGGAGTTCCCTAGTTCTCCTGATGAAAACAAGAGAAAACAAGGATTCATGGAAATCCTTGGGCAGGTAGGTGCCATCTTCTCTCATCCCTTCTTCCTATGGACTTGGCCCACCAAGGGCTGGGGGACAGGAGGAGGCCCCAGGACCTAAAGCAGTCCTACAGAGGATGGTCTTCCCACTCTGAGTGTGTGGGAATAGTTCTTTCTCCTGGGGCCACTGGGTGGGGACATCCTGGTGGGCCCCACGACCAGTTCTCATTTCTGAACTTTTCTCTGTGTTGCTCATGTACCTGTTAGAGACGGTTGCCATATTACAGCCCAGGAGTAATAAGTATTCCAGACTTTCCCTGTGAGTATGGGTCACTTAATACTGCAGGTTGGTAATAAGAAATAGTTTCTCCAACATATGAGATGTAACTTCAAGATGCACTTGGCTGCTCTGTCAGCCAAGTGGAATTTTCAGGCTATTACTCTTGGGTTATATTGCCAAAACATTGCTCAGATGTTTCCCTAATTTAGGATTAGAATCCTAAATGTCTTCAGACCACCATGTGGTGCTCCGTGCTTTGTCAATCGAAAGGAATCAAGATCCTTGCCGGCTGCTATTCAGTGGATTCTCTCACACCGATGTGTTTTGCCACCTGTGGGTCTCACTCTACAATTCAGTTTCCTCCTTTATCTTCTCTAAATCCCGCAGCTTGTACCTTTAATTACCAAACATTACAGGTTTCTCTAGACTCACCATCAAGAGACTACACCCTAACCTGGCCCTATAACAAGCTAACTGGAGACACATACACTATATGTCTACATGACATGTGACTGACCCCATACACTAGGGCCTATTTGCCAGAAAATTTCTCCACAAGACCAAAATGGCCCTTCTGCAAAAAGATAGCAAGTTTTGCTCATAGCCTGCCTGCCACAGGCCATGGATTTATGACTAATCTGAGATGCCATAGACCACTCCCCCGCCAGAAGGAGGTTTTCTCCCCCCTGTACGAAGAACGCCTGCTCCCTTTGGGATCCTTACTGCCTCTCATCTCAGTCTCAGAAGCCCTCCAGAATGTCTCGCTGTCTCACAGAACCCCATATTCTCTGGTTTACAGATCAGGAGACAGAGGCCTGTAGGGAGCCAGGGACTCAACAGAGCCAAGGAGCTTGTCCAAGCCACATCCTAGACCCTTTGCGAGACATTTGGCAGGTGAAGAACTCCTATGCTGTTATCTTTTCACTAGGATTGTTAAGAGAATCTTCGGCTTTGTTGTGTTTGACGACTTGGTGGATGGCTGTGGAATTAAGTCCAAGAGGACGGAGGGATAGCTGGTGGGAGGAGGCGGCTGCTCCGGGAGTCTGCAGCGAAGCAAATGGAGGCAAATGAGAAACCGGGCACCTTATCCTCATCAGCAGCATCTGGGCGCAGACACGCCAGGCCACATCCACCTGGTGACTAGCGTTGCCCGGCCCAACCTTGTGCGCCCGGGTTTCTGCGGGGCACCCTACCATACCCACATGTGCCTCTGCGCAGCCGGAGTCCAGCCAGCCTCCAGGCTTCGGTTCGGTTCTGCTCTGCGCCACGACGGGATCATCATGGCTAGCTGTTGAGCCTCCGGCCTTGCTTATCGTGCTCCCAAGTGACTCTGGAGCGGCCGCCTGCAGACTGAACCCAGCCACGGTCCGGGATCATGTGGGGGCGGGAGCACCTGGTGACCGGAGCTCCACGGCAGGCACGTGCGCCTCCGCAGCGCAGGCATTTGAGTAGCTGGCCCAGTTCGACCGTTTCAGTACGACGTTCCTGCTCTGAGGGCTGCAAAGCCCCAACTTCTCCAGGCCTCCAGGGACTCGTGCCCCGAGAGGACATTCTCAGCTCCGAAGAAAGGGCCTCAGCGGCGTGTCGGGCAGCTGTTTAGCTGCGGGCTCACTTCGGCACAGAGGAGTGCTGCGCCGCCTTCTGCTTTTATTACGCCACACCTGTGCGGAAGTGGAGAAGTGTGGAGAGCACTGGCAAAAATGAAATGCTTTCCCGTATTTGTTCCCTCTTTTAACTCCTCCCTCCCTGATCTGTTACCTTCCCTGACCCCTCACCCCTCCCACCACCGATCCCTCCCTGCGGTCGGCGTGGGAGTCTTGGCCGGTGTCCACTGATGGTCCCAAGCCTGGAGCAGCCTTACACCCAGGATGTCCTCAGAATCCTTTGCATATTGATAAAGAAGGTGAGTGCGTTTGCACTTGGTATCCTGTGATAGGAACCCGTGTGAACTTATTATCCAGGGAGGGTTTAAAAAAACCAGAGAATCTGCTTTCCTTCCTGTGGAATATCCTACTAACTCATATTGCATTACTTTGAAATAAATTGATTAAGTTTTTCTATTTCTTCTACACTGTTCAGTCAACTTCAAGATACTCCATTTATTACGCAATTTCACTTAATACCTCACCTAAATGAAATTTTTGGCTTCTATTTTAGAAAAGACATATTTGGTCAATTGAAATAAATCTGCACGGGATGAAGGAGCACATTTGCGAACAACCAAATTTTATTTACCCTCATGAAGGTGGATCTTAGAATTTATGTTTTATGATTATGGACAAGGAAAGCAGTGAGCCAGACACAGTTGACAAGGTATCATTCCTGCAGACAGGCCTTGACCCGTGTGTGTGTGGCCAACCATCAGGTTTTTAAGGAAACTCTCTATTGCCACAGCACATAACTGGCCTTCCGTTTGAGGGATCTGTTAACGTCCGGTGTAATTCAGAGAGAACATTTTAAAAACTCTCACGTTGTTGCTCAGAGGGAGCAGCCATTAGCCCACAAATTTTAGTGTTTGTTTCATTCAAAGTTTTCAGGATGTTATGAATAGTGCTTTGTCCCTGTGCTTTTATATTGCACTGGCACTGAGCTTTTGTCTTCCTCTGTTTCCCAAATTGGAAAAATGTGTGGTTATTGGCGATAAAAGGCGACATGCAATTTGTTCCCGGGGCAACTTACCTGTGGTGTCTTCTCCTTGTTATTGACTCTGTTTTAAGACCTTCACAAAGGGAGGAATATTCAGTGTTCCTGACAGCTGAGCCTTTTACTAAACCCTCTCCCACACAAAACTTTGGTTCCGAATCTGAAAATGATCTCTTTTGTCAATTTTTCCTTCCAAGTTTCTCGTGGACTGCACCTCCCACCATCAACTCCAGCTACCCCCTTCCCAGATGCAGCCCTTTACTGTGCAGATTCTAACATCTCTTTGCTGGGCAAACATTAGAAATGTAGTGGGCTTCAGGAAAAAAGTAGCCAAAACAGACCACAAAAGGAAGGGAACGCACAATTGTGATGTTTAGCACAGCTCCGTAATCAAGTGTTTCAAAGAGAGGAAAACGACTCAAAATATTAACTGGTGAGCGTCAGAATTGTTCTTGGAAGAGCTGAGTGACACATAACAGAAAACATTGTAATTACCTGTTATTTAATTTAATACCCCAAACAGATGGTGTTCCATTTTTTTCCCCCAAAATGGATTTGCTCACCTGACTGGAAAATCATTTCTGAGCCCTCACTCCAAAGCCAGTTGCTTAACTTCCGTTGCATCCAAATGTGAATTGGTTTGCTTCCCTTACTTTAGAAATGATTTTATGGTCAGATTTCCACTTTCTTCCAGTTGATACTTACGGATCAAAAACTACCTGTTTTATTTATTCCAGGAATTACTGTTACACATTTCGTCAGGAAATGAAGGATCTGCTAAATTAAAGCAGTGTTCCCGCATCTCCTTGGTTAAAAGGATAGATTCTTGTGGACGCTTCTCTAGATTTCTCTGGAAAACATTTGCACAGCTTTCATTCCAACCCCAGCTTCCAGTACATTCCTAAGGACCTTTAACAAGCCTTCAGCTCCGTTAGCCATTTTGAGGCTACACCCTTCAACTGCCAAAAGGGCAGAATCTAGCAGTGCAAGCTCACCTCTAAAAATCCACAGTCCTAGAGATGGTGGCAGAGATTTTTCCTTAAAAAATAGACATCTGAGAAATCATGGGAAGCTCTATTTTACATCCTTGCTGAAACCATGTGATGCAGAAATAAACCCACCTTACTTTGACTTTGAAAATATTTTATTTGAATAGTAAATAGTTATACAGTTGAAACAGTTCTATTGAAGCTTTCTATAAATAGCTAACAATTAAGAAAATAATGTATGTAGAAAAGAGATTGCATTTAAAAGTAAGAGCTGTCAGTTGTACAAGGGCCTCAGGGGCCCTCCAAGCAGAATAAAATGGTAGGTTGTCTGTAATTCGCTCACATAGGTATAAAAGTTAAAACTTTTAGCAGATCCCTTTAGAAAAAGGCTCTCTTCTAAAATGCACAGTGAAATGTCAATAGTGGCAGGGGGAAAAGCACACCAAAAACAAAAAGATCTGTGATCAAATAATATCATAATCTTCATAATTAATATAAATAAATAAAGAATAAATAACAATTACTCATAAATCAACATATACATTTAGAGGGAACTCAAACAGCCCTACCTCAACAAAGATGATCAACCCAAAAAGTCGTAGTGAAACACTGAGGCAGCTTCTACAGCATCTTCTGAAAATTCCCTTCCCTCCCCCCCAAAACAATCCCAGACAGACAACAGTTCAAGGCATTTGCGGCTATACTAAAGAAAACTCTTTTTTAAGCAATTTGATTTGTTCACATACAAAAAGGTAAAGCCAGACTCCAGCAGTTCACAAGCCATAATAAAGCTAATCGTGTGGGAAGTTCAATTTACAGCCTGTGAAATATAAAGGCATTGATCCCTCAAGATTCACCCAAAACAACCCGTACGCTACATACACAGAGAGCAGAGATTGGTAGGCGAGAGCAAACCGCGCTTCTAGACCATGAACACAGCGAATACTAGCAAGAAAAACAGCTCTCCTCTCCAGGGGGAGGCTTCCAACCACGAGACAAACGCGTACAGCTCTTCTCCCTTGTACAGAAAGAAATTGGCTCCTGTTGCGCCAAGGGGGGGCAGGGGACACGACGCAAAAATGGGGGTGGGGGTCCAAAAGGAGTCACAACAAGAGGATCGGGGTTACCGTCACACCACACCGAGAGAAGCGGAGACAACACTTTCACCGGGGGTGGGCGCCCCTGGCGCGGACGCGGGTTCGGGGCGCGCAGGGCGCGCTCATTTCGTGGGTCTCCAAACGAAGGCACAGTTTGGGGGGCCGGGGGTGGAGGGCGCGCTCTAGCAGGCCGGACGCACAGGCACCTGCAGGAGGATCACCTGTCTGTTCTCGGACGGGTGGCACTTGTTGATGTGCCGCGTGAGGCCAGGCGAGCTGTAGAAGGTGGCCGGGCAGTACTTGCAGGGGAACACCTGGGCAGCGTGCAGCAGGCGCAGGTGGCGCTCCTGGGCGCCCTTGCTGGGGAAGGTCTCCCCACACACCGGGCACAGGTGGCACTCGGCGGACGCACTCAGGCCAAGCACGCCGGCTGCCTCGCCGTCGCCGGCTGCCTCCTGGGGCGCCTTCTCGTCGGGCCCGGGGTACAAGGCCAGTAGGTCCTCGGCCGGAGGGGCAGACGGCGCGCTCTTGGCCTGCAGCGCCTGATGGTGCGCCAGCAGGTGCTTGCGCAGATAGGCCTGGCGGCGGAACTTCTTGGCGCAGTGGTGGCACTCGTAGAGCCCGTCCTCAGAGCCCGACTCAGACACGCCGCCGGGGCTCGGCGTGTCGCGGTCGCTGCCGCCGCCTGTTACCTCCCGCCCCTCAGCCCTGGCAGCGATTTCGGGCTCCGACGCGCGGGTGGCGGCAGGGGCAGGCCGCGGTTTGTGCCAGCGGCGGTGTGAGGCCAGGTTGGCCGGGCAGCTGAAGACCTTGGCGCACTCAGGGCAGCGGTACTCCACGCGCACGATGCGCGAGCACTTGTGCTGCGCCAGCGCGAACGGGTCGGCGTACTCCTCCTTGCAGAGCTGGCAGATGAACTCGCCCAACGGCCGCGCCGCGCCCCCCGTGCGGCCCCGCGGAGCCTCCACCGGGCCCTCCTTGATCTTGAGCCCCAGCACAGGCGACGTGGTCACCTCGTCTTCGAAGTGCAGCTTGCGGATGGCTTTGGGCTTCTTGGCGCCCGGGGCCTTGGCTACCTTGACAGGCGGCTCGGCGGCGGCAGGCGCGGGCCGCTTGCCCGGGGGCCGCAGGGCGGCG